AAGGATCTTTTTTCATATTTAATTAAAATTTGTTTTTGATATTATGATTTGAGTTAAAAAAATATAGTAGTATGATATGATTATATAATTTTTGTTTTGTTAAATTTATCAATAATTATTTTTAATGCTTTTTATGATAAAATTATTTTTTAATTAAATATAAATTAAATTGATGAAATTTATATTTTAAAATATTTTATTTAATTATTTATAAATTATTAAAAAAAATTTTATCAAAATGATAATATAAAAATAATTACAATTAATTTTAAAAATTATCTTAAAATCTTATTTTTTTTAATAATTTACATAAAAATACAATTGAAAATGTTTATAACTATTAATTTCTAATCGCAATCAACTGCATTCACCCTCAACAATCACTTATCAACTAATCATTACCAATCGTCCACAATCGATACCAAATATTTTAACAACGTTATCACACAAAATCATAATCACAGCGGTAAAATCAATCGCATCTATAATAATATAAACCATTTAAATATTTAAAAATACAGAAAAAAAAAGAAAAAGAAACATTGTGACAACTAATTAAGATTAACCATGGTTAATTATTGATATATATATATATATATAGATATATGTGTGTGTGGAACAGATATTAAAAAAGGATAGAGGAGGGGCATGTGGGATGTTGGGGGAATTTAACTTTAGAGATGTAGTGAAGTAGTAGGGCCCACGTACCAATAATTTCTTAATTTTGTTTTCTCTAATCAACAAACGTTTTTCCTACTTTCATGTCCATAACCCAATAATGATTTTTAGAATCTCAGTCTAAAACTTTTAGAAGTAGGGCCATTTTTAATCATATATTCCTATAGCATTTTATATTGGATGACAAATGATATGAAGATATTCTTCTTATCTCACAAGATATTATCTTTATTATAATCTAAAGCTAATGTAGTTTACGAATATAGAAACCTTTTTTATATATGGGATTAGTTAAATCTTTTAAATCAATTTAGTTTTATATTATACTAATCGTTGATCCGGTCATCTATAAGTTTCAAATATAGTAGTTAAATTATTAAAAATGATTATATTTTATTTCCTATATTTTTATTTACAATTTTCATTGATATTTTTCTATCTATTTATTATGAAATTTGTTATAAAAATATAAAGTATCGTTGGAATATAATATAATAAAAATTCGATAAAACCTCTCAACACTGGAAGCAATTTTTTTAAGTTAAACAAATAAAGAAAATACTTTAGTAAAATAAAGAAATCTAAACAAATTAATAATTGATAAAATGAGGTTTATTTATTTATAAAACAGTAATAGATAAATTGCAAAATATAATTATAAAAAAATATAATAAATATCAATTTACTTGAAAAATATAATTTTATATTATAAAAACTAATAAAATATATTATTTTTATCAAAAAAATAATTCATATAATTTTATTAAAATAATATCAACAAATATTATAATGATCAACAAAAACAATATCCCTCGTCAATTCTCATCTAATTTAACTAATGCCTGAATGTATGTAGTAAAAAATCTCTTTTTCGATTTTTTTGTTTGATAATTCTTTAAATACACGAAAAAAAAGAAATAAATGGTACACAAAAATACTAAAGAAACGAATAATAACGACAAAACTGTATGATAAATATGAGAGAGATTTGATACAAGGCGTTTCTTATTTAAATTAATATGTAAATATAGGATAAAATAATTAATTATCACTGTTTTTAAATTCATGTCCAATTTCTAAGTAGATAACCATGTGAATGCTTGTGGATCACAAACCTGAGTTAGGTACGGAGTAAGTATATTATGTCTAATACATCAATATAATATCCAATTAAACCTACTTTATCCACTAAGTTGTTAAAAAAATATTATAATTATCATCTTTGGTTTTACACCAGTATTGATAAAGTTTTGCTCTCGGTATAATGTGAATAAGTTTTAGCATTCTAGTTGTCTTTTTAGATATTATTTTTTCATTATAATAAAAAATGTTATTGTATGTGCTCTAATTAAAATATATAATACACATTATCATTCACACAATTGTTTTAAACACATATCTTGTAAATTTTAGAACGTTTTGGTCAGTTAAAATTTGAGGAAATGAAATAAAACCCTAGTATGTGTTGAGAATAGGGGTGGCCAATTCGGGTTCGGTTCGATTATATTCGGGTTCGGTTATTTCGGTTATAGAAAAACTATAACCATTCGGTTTTTATATAAATTTCGGTTCGGTTCGGTTATTTTTCGGGTCAGATTCGGTTCGGTTCGATTACAGTAAAAAGTTCAGTTTTTCAAAGAAATTGTCGGCTTTTTCTCGTTTTTTCGGTTATTTTTTATTCGATTCGATTCGGTTCGGTTTCAGTTTTTTTGGGTCTAAGGAAATCATAACCGCTCGGATATGATGTCGGATTCGGTTCGGGTACGGTTATATCTTATTCGGTTCGGTTAGGTTATTCAGTTAATAACCGAAATGACCATATCCCTAGTTGAGAAATCAATCTTAATTTTTTTTTGTTTCTAATTAATAAAAAAAGAAAAGCAACCGAGTTAAAAAGTTACAAAAGTAGTTTGACAAGAAATAATCACTGTTAATGACATATGTTTAAGAATGTGTCCTTACTAATCAGGCACACCCATAACAAATAAATCCGCTAAAGTTAAAAGTACCGAGGTAATAAAGCAGCAATTTTCAAAGTCAATGATAAAAAAGGTGAATATCGACCTCGATCAATTATTATTGTTATCATTGTTGTTATTATTATATATATTGAAATGATTCCATATTAATATTAATTATTTTTTAACTAGAAAAAATATTTAGCACAATTCATTCACATGATTCATTAAGGTTTAGGTAGAAAACTAATTTTAAAAAAATAAATTCAACATTATTTTTTCATGTTATCTTTTACTTTAAAACCTAAACTTTTATACTGTTTTAAAAAAAAAACATTATTTTTTGAAAATAATTTAAAAGTTTTATTTAATTTTATGATAATTTTTATAAATTATTTTAAAAGCTCAAGATTAAATTTTATTGTTTTTAAAAAATTTAGGGTTAATTAGAAAAAGTTATTGAAGTTATGTGTGAATTTTAGAATTTGTATATCTATTATGATTTTTAAAATTTTATTTATTAATTTGAGATTTTTTTCTGAAACAAAATACGTAAATTTAATTTAAAATTAATATAACTAATCATTTTAAATTTTGAATATAGTTTATTAGAATATAAGATTGAGTGTTCTAATAAAGAATAAGGAAGAGAGCAAACATCTTTTTTAATCTGAATTTGATTTTTCATTTGGAAAAGGATATTTATACGGATTTCTTCGATCAAAGATATATTCGAGTCAAAGACACAATAAACTTACATGTTATAAAAAAAAAAATTATTGGAATATCTAAATGTTAGAGAGAGAGAGGGACCTTTTGATTTATAGAACAAGTGAAAAGGAAAACTGGGAGAGGAGTCACGGTCGGAGGAACGCACGAGGGGTACACGAAAATCCATCCATCCCACTAGATGCTGTGCACACGTGCGCCACTTTTCCCCACTTTATTACCCCTCCTTTTTAAACTATTATTATTATTATTATTATTATTATCCAACTTCGTACTCGTAATTTTTGAATTTATTATATTGGACAAAATAATTGTAAGATAACAAAATTTCGTAAAAAAATCCAAAAGAAATATAAAATTACAATCATGTATCAAATTTAAACGAGGCCTAAGAACAAGGATGAAATAAGATGTTCTAAATAATAAATAGCTATAAATAATTGTCGACACTCAAATGTTTTTGGAATTAAAAAAACGTGAATTTACAGATAGAGTCATGTTTATATTCCATCGCGATCGAACGGTCACAATAGTACGTCATAAGTGATCAGTTTCCGTCTCACGCGTTTGGTCAACTCATCGGACGGTCCACGTATTTTCTCCTACCGTTTGACCCTCATAATTCCATCTCATGCTGCTTCAACCACACAAAAGAAGATAAAAGACCACCAACACAGATACATACATACATATACATATATATGTCATGAAAATTATATATATGTGGAAAAATACAATTTATAACTGAAATATGTCATAAGAAACTAAAATAATCACACTATCTAATGGAAAGTCGATCCAATATTTTTTTAACTTGAAAATTCGTAACCATTATTCTTGGAATGTTTGGATAAACACCATCTATCATATGATGATTTACAAACCATACGAAAAATGTAAACCAATCTAAAATATTCATAATTCACTTATCAATTTACAGATGAAGAGATTAAGAATATTCGAATTCTAACCAGAGATTAAAGGATATAATACTCAATCAATTTTTTCGGGATTCAATTATGTTTTGGAGTTTGATTTGACTTTTAATTTTTAGTATGTACAATAATGGACTAATATAATATAAGGTTCGTTTTTTAGGCCTATACTACTGTATTGTTATGGACATATTATGAGATGTAATATATGTATATATAATTTTTTTGCTGTCATATATGGTTAAATATTAAAATAAAAAATAAAAAAAAAAGGGATAGACGACTCACGAGAATTGCGCGAACGAACGGAAATCCACGCGAAAGAACAGAGCGGCGCAGTATTTGCCACGCTCTTCGTCACTCAGTAGCATAACCGTAGATTAGGTAAATCATGAGGGCAATTACGTCTTTTACTAAAATGCGTTACTCCCCTCACATTTTATTCTTTTCCAACTATTGTAATAATAATTATTATTATATTATTATTTATTAATTTTAACGTGAAGAACCATTAATTGCGCATAAATTTTTAACGAAAAAAATAAGTGGGGGAGAAGCGCGTGGGACCCAGCTATGGTATATGGATGACGTGGCAGACTCGTGGAAAATTGAATGAAAACTGGAAAAGATAACGACCGGAGAGAGACTGGGCCCCTTGAGGAGAGCGAGAGGCTCATCCGCCATAATAAAGTCCCAGTTTTTTTTTTTCCAATCCATAATTTTTATTTTATATTTGCGGATTTTTTTTTCCGTTTGATTTTCTCGGGAAAATCTTCTCTGGCTTTTGCTGAGATCGAAGTGTGTGAGCACGAAATCTGGATGTGACTGTTGGTGAATCGGAGATGAGGAACGTGAACAATACCGTCGAGACGGTGAACGCTGCCGCAACCGCCATCGTCTCCGCCGAGTCCCGCGTCCAGCCGACGGCGGGTGAGGGACTGTTGAGCTATGTTCTTCTCTGTGTGAATTCAGGTCGAATGTGTTCAGTTTCTGGTTGTGGGTCAGTGTCGTTGCTTTTTTTTAGGTGGTTTCTTTAGTTATGAATGTTGAGCTATGTTCTTCTCTGTGTGAATTCAGGTCGAATGTGTTCAGTTTCTGGTTGTGGGTCAGTGTCGTTGCTTTTTTTTAGGTGGTTTCTTTAGTTATGAATCGTGATCCACGAGATTTGAAGCTTCTGTTTGGTTGCTGAGAAAATGATTGATGCTGAGTGAGAATTTCTGGATCTTTGGTGCGTGATCTGGATTAGAAACGCGAGGAGGAAATGATTTTACCTTTTTGCTTTAATCAGTTACTAATTCTGCTAGATTTATGCTCGGCTCTGTGTTACTTTATTAGTGGCGACGAGAAGATGGAAGAAGACCCGGAATTGGATCGGGGTTTCGTGTTCATTTCTATGTTTCCTTTTTCGGTTTTCCTATCTCAGAATTATCCATCAAAGTGAGATTTAAGCGGTGAACTCAAAATTTTCAGCGAAATTTTCCAGATTTCATTGCTTTGAGCGTTATCTCTTTGTTTCCTCTTGATTACGATTTGATATCAGGAAGCTTTGGTCTGGAGGGATTTGAGTGTAGAGGATAAGAGAGATATGGACGTTTTGCTCTCGATTGGCTTTAAAGGTCATGAATGATTTTCATGGTGTCAAAGGAAATATGGTTTTGATTAAGATGATTTCCTTTTCATCATTTGATATATCTTCTCCATTCGCCGTTTTTGAAATGCTATACTGTAAGATGATTGTTGATCATTTCTCTTCTATGGTTCGTGTGGCAAAGTTATCATCTTTGTCAGGAAAGAGAGTTATTTTGGTTCTGTAACTAAAGAATCTTGCTTTATCTGCTTGGATACAGAAGAGAAGATGGAGAAGCTGCTTGAGCCTTTACTCTTGTTTTGGATCCCAAAAGAACAATAAACGGATTGGTCATGCTGTGCTCGTCCCAGAGCCGGTCGCACCTGGAGTTCCGGTGGCTACAATCCAGAACTCGACAGCTTCAACTCCAATTGCTCTTCCCTTTATAGCCCCTCCTTCATCTCCTGTGTCATTTCTGCAATCTGATCCTCCGTCGGTGACTCAATCCCCCGCCGGTCTGCTTTCCCTCACCGTCAATACATATTCCCCATGTGAACCTTCATCGGCATTTGCTACGGGTCCTTATGCACATGAAACTCAACCAGTCACTCCTCCCATATTCTCTGCCTTCACAACAGAACCCTCCACTGCACCTTTCACCCCTCCTCCCGAATCAGTTCACATGACTACCCCTTCTTCCCCTGAAGTGCCCTTTGCTCAGTTGCTGACATCATCGCTAGAGCGAGCTCGGAGGAATAGCGGCGGGATGAATCAAAAGTTCTCGTCGTCACACTATGAGTTTAAATCTCATCATGTGTACCCGGGGAGCCCTGGCGGTAATCTAATATCCCCTGGCTCTGTGGTTTCAAACTCTGGTACATCTTCTCCTTACCCAAGAAAGTATCCCATCGTCAATTTCCGTGTGGATGTACCTCCAAAGTTCTTTGGTTCTGGATCTATTACTCCTTTTGGGCAAGGTTCAAGGTTGGGTTCTGGTGCTCTGACCCCTGACGGGGGAGGCTTCTCAAGGTTGGGGTCTGGTGCCGTGACACCGAGTGCTGTTGGGATTTCAAGACTTGGTTCTGGAACTATGACACCCGATGGCGTATGGCCTGCACCTCACGAAGGCACTTTCATGGAGAATCAGATCTCTGAGGTGGCATCACTAGCCAATTCAGATCACGGGTCGGGGTCTAGACATGAGGAAATAGCAGTAGATCACAGAGTTTCGTTCGAGCTGACTGGCGAAGATGTAGCTCGTTGTCTAGCGAGCAAGTTAAGCAGGTCTGGGTTAGATAGTAACCAGTTCGAGACAGAGGAAACAGTTCTAGACAGACGAACCAGCAGCCATGGGGAAACATGTGGAAATATGTCTGAGAAAGGACATGGAGAAACAGAAAGTGAACAGGCTCAAAGGCTACGATCGTTCTCGGTAGGATCGAGCAAAGAATTCAACTTCGACAACAGAAAAGAAGAGATCCCGGAGAAGGCAGCAGTTAGGTCAGAGTGGTGGGCGAACGAGAAGGTCTCAGGGAAAGGCGAAAGCCCCGGAAACAACTGGAGTTTTTTCCCGGGTTTACACTCTGGTGTAAGCTAAGCTTGAGAAATTCTCCGATCATAAAGTCACAAAAACGGCTAACAAACCAGGTAAGTGTTTCAAGATTCGGTCTAACAAAATATACAGAAAGGGTATAGTAGTGATGGGAATATATATAATAAGATTGCGGTGGTATACGTAACTGATTATGGTAATGAATAGGGGCATTCTTTGATAATAATCTGCTTCAACTAGATTTCTTCATTATACTAAACACAGCCTTCCGTATACTACTTAATACAAATATTTGGTGGGGTGTGTCGACTTCCTTCTCTCTTTGTAGTTGAATAGAAAACCCTTTTTTTTTTTTTGTCAAAACAGGAAGTTCACCTGGGCCTTCGGCCCAACCTACATCTCCCTGAGCCCGGGAGCAGCCTTTGAACACACAGCCTTTGGCTATGCCTCTCCCTCCCCGCATGCCTGAATTCGAACCCCTGACCTGGAGGAGGAACACCCTCACTTCCAGTTCAGGTACCACTCGACCACAGACATGTGGGTAGAAAACCCTTTTCTTCTGTGTCGATATATTCATTCATGTGATAGAATAGAGCCCGTGTTCTGAAATCATCTTTTCCATCCGACCGCATGAATGCGTCAATGTTATTCAAACTTTGTTGTGGTACTTTAGACCGGATCTGGGTATCCGAAAACAGGGCAGGGTGAAGTTGAGACTAGGCGTGGACGGCGATCGGGCTTGAATTCGAATTCTGTGATCATAATTCTTGGATATCTGAGCCGGTTTCCATCGTCTAAATCATCATCGTGACCTCGCCTGAGTCATCTCGTTTCGTCCACACCCTCGGATACATCTCAAGATGATTTGAACCATTCGAATTTAAAATTAGATAACCCTACAATTTTTAGATATCAACGCTAAAATACACACCATGGAAAAGAAACCAGCCATAGCATCTTTATCAAAAATATCTTTACTTTGTCGAGATGATATCCATGTATCATTTTTCGTATAACCAATGTGATCATTTTAAACAGTAGTCACACCGATAAAATTGCATGATGATCAAACTATTCATATTGATTGTATCGTTAAAATTATATGACCGGTGTAACCATCATTTACTAATCAAACTAGTTAAAAAAAAATAGGTTAAAAAATTACTCTAAATTACATTTAACAAATAAGAGTAGTTTTGATATTATACCCATCTCAAATACGTTTCTCAATGAAATTAACGTCGAGATGAGAAGTCGTCATAATGTGGACTCCAATTTACAGAACCCATCGTTTTCTTTTCTTTTTGTTCTTTTGTTCATTTTCGTCAAAACAAGCATTAATGAAATCACGCTTTTGACTTTTGGGAACTAAAGAAAAACACCGACCGTTATTTCATATTAGTTTGTGTTCTTCAAATAATATCGGAATCTACTGATTATTAGATTGGTCTGTTCAATTGTCATCGAGTTGAGCTCATCATAAAAAACGACAGAACATAAGGAGATATGATTCTAAATTATACATGGAGACGACGACAAACAAGAGGAAGAAGAAGGAGACAGAGAAGAACTTCCGTCATCGGACACGTGTCGTCTTCTTTCGTAATAAATTCGTAACCTTGACCGTTTGGGTTCGTAAAGGAACCCAGAAACTTCAAACGAAGGATTTCACAAACCTTTCTGTTCTTCGCTTTTGGATCTTATCCCCCACTACCAAGGTAAGACCCATCTGCTTAATTAATAAGATCGAAAGACTTGGAATTTCGCTTTGGATTTTTGAAAAAAAAAACATATTTTTGTTGAAAGAATCCTTTAATAGTTCCTGTTTTGCTTCGGAGTTTGTGGGATTCGATTTCAGGAACACGAACAACGTTGAACAGTTTCAGTTCGTTACTCCAGTGATTTCATTTATCTGATGAAACAGTTAACATCAAATTCAACTGCCCTCTTTTTATGTTTTGGTCCTGAACAGCAAAGATTCTTACAGGAATCATACGACAAGATCTGGGAAGTGGCCGATAAGGGTTTACCTTCCCCGCCAAGAAAACTCTGAAACTGACTTGGTTGACACAGACCCTAAGTTCAGACCTCCGAAAATGGCGATGGCTCCCACTGTGAAGCTGGTTTTAGGCTCTTTCGTCTTTGCGGTTTTCTGGGTCTTAGCCGTTTTTCCGTCTGTCCCATTTCTACCGATCGGTAGAACCGCAGGTTCCCTTCTTGGTGCAGTTCTGATGGTGATATTCCAAGTCATAAGTCCAGAACAAGCTTACTCCGCCATCGATCTCCCGATTCTTGGACTTCTATTCGGAACAATGGTCGTTAGTACGTACCTCGAAAGAGCTGATATGTTCAAGTACTTGGGGAAGTTGCTTTCATGGAAGAGCAGAGGATCCAAGGACTTGCTCTGCCGAATCTGTCTGATCTCTGCGATCTCGAGCGCCCTTTTCACCAATGACACTTCTTGTGTGGTGTTGACTGAGTTCGTACTGAAGATCGCGAGGCAAAAGAATCTGCCGCCTCATCCGTTTCTACTGGCTCTTGCCTCGAGTGCGAATATCGGTTCTGCAGCTACTCCGATTGGGAACCCTCAGAATCTTGTCATTGCCGTGCAGAGCAAGATATCTTTCTGGGATTTTCTCCTTGGGATTTTGCCTGCAACGTTAGCTGGTATCTGCGTAAATGCTTTGATTCTTCTCGGTATGTATTGGAAGTTGTTGTCAGATCATAAGGACGAAGAGGAAGCTTGTCCTGAAGCCGTGGCCGAGGAGGAAGTCGTGTCCCATCAGTTTTCGCCAGCTACATTACCACATCTTAACTCGTTCGACTCTGAAGAGATGAATCTAAGAAACAGAACGGCTAGGGTTTCGGGCGAGAGCGAAACAAACCGTCCTTCAAATGCGTCGAGAGAGACAGTGAACGAAGCTTCTGAGAGAGGGGATCGCATTAACTCGGCATCATCAAGGAGTGTTTCATCAGTGGAATTGAGTTCCGGTGATTGCCATGGAGTATACACTACCAAATGGAGCAGAAAACTATGGAAGTGTTGCGTTTATCTGGTCACCATTGGAATGCTCATAGCTCTGCTGATGGGTCTGAACATGTCCTGGACCGCCGTCACAGCTGCTCTCGCCCTCGTGGTTCTCGATTTCCAAGACGCCAGGCCTTCCCTAGAGAAGGTAGTAGACTATGACACAGCAAACCCTAAAACTTAAACTCTTGAGTTCTAAACCCTAAACGCTTACTCGTACGATGAATGTGAGGTTGAAAGTGTGGGTAATGGACGGCTTTAACATGTGCAGGTGTCGTATTCGCTGCTGATATTCTTCTGCGGAATGTTCATAACGGTGGAAGGATTCAACAAGACAGGGATCCCGACGGCGCTGTGGGATCTGATGGAACCGTTGGCGAAGATAGACAGTGTAAGCGGGACAGTGGTTCTTGCTGTCGTGATCCTTGTCCTCTCCAATGTCGCCTCCAACGTACCCACAGGTAATAACACCTAATACCTCTCTAAGTTGATATGATGAAGAAACCGAACCCTAACTCGGCAAGAATGCAGTGCTGTTGCTGGGAGGAAGAGTGGCTGCCTCGGCAGGGGCAGAAGACGTGAAGAGGGCGTGGCTAATAGTGGCGTGGGTGAGCACGGTGGCCGGGAACCTCTCCCTGCTGGGCTCGGCGGCCAACCTCATAGTGTGCGAGCAGGCAGGACGGGCCCCTCACCTCCTCGGCTACACCCTCACCTTCTGGAAACATCTCATGTTCGGCCTCCCTTCCACTCTCCTCGTCACCTCCCTCGGTCTCCTCCTCATCCGCTGACATCGACCCCGGCCCCTTCTCCTTTGGTTTGGCTCGGGGTCACGAGAAGCAAATCGTTGCGATTGCGGTTCCCTTTGAATATTTCGTATTATGTCTGAAATTGTACCAATTCGATTGTATATATACTGAACCGATTCGAAATAAATAACACGTAATCAATCGCTAAACGAAAATCCAATATAAAAGCCGAACTCCGAACCAATTATCATAATCATAAAAAAATCGATTTTTTTTTATGAATCAAAATTTTATTATCAAAACCCAACGCCACACAGAATCTAATAAAATTAAACCGGAAAAATCGAATCCGAACCAAAAGCTGAAATACCGCACCTACATTTGAGTAATCATTTCGGTATTTAGAGCAATAATCTATGAACTGAAGTCATCACAAAGTAAATTGATTCACGTAGCTAACAAAAGGTGCGTATTTGGAAATTGGAACATAGACCGTAGCGTCGAAATGAAAGCCAAAGCTGAACAATAGAACCAACCCTAAACCGGTTCCACATCAAAGATCTGAACAATAAACCGAAAACTAAACCCATTACGTTACGGTATAAGTTAAACCGGACAGTTAAACACAAAAACCGGTTCAATCGTCCTTGTTGTTCACTTCATAATACCTCTTGAAAGCTCTGGGGAGATAAACCGGCAACAGCACCCCAAACAGATTGAATGACCAAACCGCCATGTTCGCAGTCGCCAGAGCTCTACCGGCCAACATCCTCCGCCGTGAAATCGTCCCGAACTCCGGCGTCTCCTTTGTGAACTCTCCCCTCAGCCACTCCACGATCGTCAGGATCCTCCTCGCGTTGTAGAAGATCGGGATCAGGATTCGCATCGGGGCGGAGAACCCGCGCCTGGAGGCAACGCCCTCCATGAACACCTGGCTAGCGAGGAGGAACACGTGAGGAGCCGCGGCGCGAATCCCGACCTTGTCGTCCTCGAAGACTCCATGGCAGATGTAACAGATCGGGATCACCAGGCCGACGATTCCCGCGGCCGCGACGTAGAGACGGAACGTCTTGTTGCTAGGGCTTGTGAGAGGGCCGTCGATTTTGGGGGTTTTGGGAGGGAAAACTGATCTGGAAAGGAAGATGAAGTAGACGAGTGAGAAGAGGACGAAGGCCAAGTCGTCGACGCAGACGAGGCCGCTCGTTGAGAGGACAACGATGATGGCGAGAGAATTCAATTGATGGAAAGAGAGGAGCCCGCCGGCGGCGGCGGAGGATGTTTTGCCGGTGGAGGTTTCGTGGTGAAGGTGTGTGCGTTCTTCTTCTTCTACTTCTTCTTCTCGTGGTAGGGTGATGTCGTCGTAAGTAGGACGGACACCGCCAGACATCTCGCCCGTTGTTTCGTCTCTGTATCGTTTGTTTGGTTGGGGAGAAAATAATATGGTTGGTTGATAATTTTCCTGGGAAAATTCAACCAAAAAAATTTTCCTGGGAAAATGAGGGAGAAACTTGGGGTAAGGGAGAGACACGTGGCGGACGGTGAGAGATAAGAATGGGGACGTGGTGGGAAAGCAGAGCCCATATGTGTCTTGTCGTTGTCTGCACTATTTACGAGGTAGACGAGCAGATTTTTTTTTTTCTTTTCATAAAACCAACAAAAAAACAATTTTCACTTGGAAAAGATTAGTGAAAATCTCTCAAAAAGTCTCTAAAACAATTTTCAGTCGAAGACCCTCCGTTTAGGAACATAGTTTACCTCAGTCGAAGTCCTCCACGGATTGGTTGCTCGCAGTCTTTGCACCACCGTTTGCTTCCGAAGAATCCTCTCAGAATAGCATCGCCTCAGTATCAGAATCCACAGACAATCTGGATCTTGTCGTTCCTCTGATGAAGTGCTCCCACTTTCCTTGGAGTCCTCTGTTCTCTTTGCCTGAGCTTCCTCCTCCTCCTCCTCTCCAAGACCTCAGTTTGTCTGCTCCAAATATGATGATAATATATTAATATCAATGAAAGTCAATGTAAGGGAATTAGTTCAGAGCAGGACCTCCGGTTCAGCGATGGTCTAATGAAATTTGCAGGTTCAGGGGATGCTATGAGCTTACACCTTCTTTGAGCGGCTTCTTCCTCTTCAACCAGTAATTTCTGGCACCGCAATGCTTCTGCATCTTTGTCAGCAAGCTAAGTTTAATCTGTACATAAAAGAAACAAACACAAATGATAAGCCGAGATTATGGGAAGTCCTCCAACTCTAGTTCTTGCGAAGACACTGGAAATCTAGATGGTCTAGCCTGGATAATAAATACCCTGACATATGTGTCAGTTGTAGGATAAATTTAGGAAGGTTTTATTGGGAAAGCGAAAAAGAGAGAACGAATCAAAGAAAGATGAAATCTATACCAAAAGGTCAGATAATATTGTGGCGTGGCAGTGAATCCTGGTTTTTGGGTAAGTGTCATTAATGCTGTCTCAACAGATGACCCAGATACTTCCTGCAAAAACCCAAACACAATATGAAGCAATAGAAAAATAGAGTGTGACAGCCAACCAGGCCATGTACAGCATGGATGAACCAACCAACACCGAGTCATGAAAACAGTTCCAGACATGAAAGGATGTATGCAAGTGTAGGTATGATAGTTGTTCAGCTCGCAAAGAATGAGAATCCAGACAGGATAGCACTTGAGCTCAAAAGCTTGCTTTTGCTTTTAGTTTAAGTTCGTTATGTGAAGATAATTATATAACATTAACCAAAATCATTGGACTTCTACGAAGCATACTACAAAAAGATGCTCAAATATATATAGTACCACACCTTCAAAGAAACAACATGTTGATAATAAAGAGTGAGACCTTCGATAAAATGTGACCAACGACAATGGAACAAAACATTGGCAAGACATAACCTGCTATGCCTAGTTCATCTCAGATGAGATGTCCACAAAGTGTTTTCACAGGTAAAACATGCTTTTACAGACAGAGGAATGCATTGATGAAAAGAATACCACCTCCATCATCACTCCCTTCAATGAGAGAATCTCCTTCACCTCATCTATTGAGAGCTGCAAACAACCAAGAAGATTAGACACATTCACAAAAGGGAAGATATACTCCAATAAGCAATAAAAATGCAATTAGAGGGGACTTACCTCATCCCAGAAGGCTCCCAGGATGTCCCTATCTTTGCCAGAATCCTGGATAACATGGAAAACCATATTCAGAAACACTCCACACAAAAAGAAACTAAATGTGAAGTGAAGTCAAGATGAAAGCAATCGGGACTGTGGAAGAAATCAAATCAAGATTATAGCATCAGTTCCCAACTAAGCAAACCTTGTCAGTCTTTCTTGTACGCCGATGCAAGCGGTTGTCTTCTGTAGTTAACAGGTGAACAAAATTCCCTCGAGCACTTATCACACTTCTACATTTTTACCTTCAAAGGGGTAAGCAATGGCTAACCTGGGAGCTCTGCCACAAAAACAGGAAATGAGAAGCAAGATGAAACGTCTACAACGTCAAATAAAGTCCCAGCAATCACAATTAAGATCACATGTATTCATCTATTAAGGTGAAAAACTCAAAGCAATAATATGACAAACAAGGGGTCACAAGTAACTGTAGACACCTAGTCCACTTTGCCCAATGCCATTTCCAATAACATCATAAAAAACATTAACTGGCAAGAATGTGATCAGTGCATGCGCATAATCCATTCAAAATCATGAGCTACAAGAGGGCTCAGTAATACCTGGCTGATCAAAGGCATGGAGAAGTTGGAACAACTGGACTGGATTATTTTCAGGCCTTGGGAAGGAAAGAAAGGGCTCCTTTCCAACTGCCTGCCTGATGAGCATATCTAGAGAATCATTTCCATCTTGCTTCATAAGATCCATGGAATTAGAGAGGTTAGATTTTGCAATTGCCATCCACAGAGACGGGAAAACCTATAATAAGCATTAACCATGCTCCATGGTGAAAAGGAAAGGTATCAAAATGGAATAGCCCAATATGTCACACAAACAATCCACAGAAAAAGAATGAAGAAGATAAAGTTATGCCATATCTAACAATAGAAATGAAACAGCATTAACCCAATAAATCAATAACAAAACTCTAAAATATTCCATGATAATGACCCATTACACTACTCTAAATCCTCCTAAACACTGCAAATTACGACTCAACAATTTCAATATACTACGATTTGAGCAATAGCAGATAGTTCAAAATCCATCTAACAAAATCGCTAACATGTGTTGAACATACTTCAGCTATTTCCCTTAAGAAATATATAAATCCATCTAGCGAGGAAGCACAGATGTTGTGTCAATTTTGAATTTTCACCATCATTGATTAGAGATTCCTGATCCTCCTTCATTGCTAGCCCCATCACAGATTTTCGATGCCACCTAACAGAGCAAAACAGAAATTGGGATTACCTCATTACACAAAAACCATTTTAAGGCAGAGAAAAATGGAACTTAAAGCGCTGTGAATTCTCCCACTCGCAAGAACGTGTGAATATACATTGATATAGAATTTACACATATGAAATGGTTAAGTGCAGTGGTCCAATCGCGTAGCAGTAGAACAGTGACATATTAGAAGAGATCGGTAGCCAAAAGGAAATGGAAATCACAACGATCGTTGGAGATTACGTCCCGAGGGTGAAGAAAATCCTTAGGAAGCTGCTTGGTAGGTGAGAAATGTCACCGAGAAAATCCGAGAAGCGATCAGATACAAAACAAAGAAAAAGAGAGAGAGAGACTGAGAAGGGAGACAAGGGAGAGAGAGAATTTAGAGGGAGAGGGGAAACAAAACAACCTTCGGGTGAAATATTTGACATAGCAAGACATTTTTATACAACGCGCTTGGTCAGCGAGTATCTGCATACTCCTATGAGTACATGGACTTCCTCGAAAAGGCCGAAAGAATAAACTTATAGTATTGGGCATAATGGTTGGGCTAGTCATCGCATCTTTTGCATGGAAGTACAAATAGGGTCTTCCACTAAGATGGTGGTGGTGATGATGATGATGACGATGATGATGATAATGATGATAATCTTATAAGTATTATGGTAAAAATACATCATGATCTAATACTTTTTTAATTTCTATTGGATTATAAAATAATTTATTAGGTATAAATACATATAAATTAGCAACATATTATTTAATAAAGAAAAAAGTAAAAATTCATCTTTATAAAATTAAAAAAACTATTTTGACCTTAGTTTTACATATTATTAAAATTTTCATTTAATTACATTTGTATTTAAAATTTATTTTTTATCTTCATGATTTATTTTAATAAAAATAATAAATATTACAGAAAAATGTGAGGTTATAATATAAAAAAGAAAAATATCAATAAATTATTTATAATAAAAAATTATATCTTTATTACTTAAGAGAAACAAATGCTTTAGAATAAATAGAAAAATTAATGATAGTTAGCGGAATAAAAATCTTTAAATTTTAATTAACTAAAAGAAGGAAAAGAAACGGATGTTTTGTAGTAAGTGGAGAAATTTATGATTAGATAGTGGAGAAAAAAATTATTACATAAAAAAGAAACGACGGTTTCAGATTTATTACACTAATATCCACAATAATTATTATTAGATAATTGAATATTTACTGAAACAAAAAATTTAAAAAAAAACGATGGACAAGGTTCATTATCCCATTTATAAAAACCAAAAAAAGCGGTAAAGAGTTTACTCTTTTTCTAATTAAATCTAATTTATTGTATTATTATCCTATTTCTATTATATAACACCATCTTTTACAATTGGCTCATTATTATAAAACAACACGGAATCCAAAACTCTAACAAGAATAAAAGATTTATTTCATTGGAGCCGATGCCATGCCACTCAAGAACGAAAAAGACCTTGAGCTAATGTTAAATGGGATTAGAGATGAAGAAAACCGAAGAAGCTAGAGGGTATATAGTGGAAGGAAATAATAGTTCACCCATATATTCCTATCTTAACTCGTAGATCTCATCTATCTTTTTTTTTTTGATAATTTGAAAAATCATCGGATTTTGGCTCGACTACATATTCCAGAAGACCGAGTTATGAATACCCCTCCCCAAGTGAGTACTCGAACCCGGATTAGGAAGGAGTTTTTTCCCCTTCCTTACCGGTTGAACCACCCAATCTTAGGTAGATCTCATCTATCTTCTTCAATTCCCGAGTGCATAATCGGCGACATGAGTTCATCGGCGACAGTGGCGAGACCGACGAGGTCTTCGAAGCACTGGGCATGATGGCGAGGTCGCCTTCTTCTGCCTCCGCTTCTCTCCCTTCCCATCTCACCCTGGTGGAGAGGAAGCAGAAGATTCTCACTTCTCTCGCAAAGCTAGATGACATGGATATATATCAGATTGCTGTCGAAGATCTCGAGAAGAATACAATCTCTCTCGCCAGAAAACCCTACCAATGTTCCTCCATTGCCTTTATGATTCATGCTTTGTTCCCAAACCCGCCACGAAGAAGGAGAGCCTCTGCCTCCTCTCTTATGTTTGCAGCCACCATCGCGATTCAACGGCCACCCACCTGACGAAGATCTGTTGAATCCGACGATGTGGGATTCTGAAATTCAGACAAAATTTCGAACATAAATTTTTGATGTAGGTTAAGTATAGGCTTATGTGTTACACAATCTCCTCAAGACGAAATTACCATGTTATTAAGTGGTCATGGTTTATAGCAATCGTTTCCAAGATATAATGACTTACGATTCTACAAAAACACCGTTTGCTTAACAGAATCCAAGGAACTACGAAAGTTCAGAACTCTTTAGAGAAAAAAAGGTTTTGGATTATTTTTTCTAAAAAGAAAAAGCGCTAAGAAAAAATGGGATGCAAAAAATAATCATATGAGTGTCTTATTTATTGTTGGGGTTTTGGAGATCCCTAAACATACGTTCACAACGGTTTCTAGGGTTTCAATCTTGGGTTTCACACAACGAAATATATAAAACGAAACTCAATCAACAGATGTTACATATAATAATAAAGGTATCGATATATCAACCTGTTTCGATCCAAAGATCTATCACAAGCGCTGAAATCAAGCGATTTCTATAGCTAGTCCATGACTTGCGTCAATTAGAACATGGTCTGAAGGATGGAAACGGAAACCGAGGCACTTCCCGGGAGAGAGAGAGGTCGGTCGAATTGAGAGAGAGAGAGGGAGAGAAAAATCTTCTTATTTTTCTTAACCTTAAATTATATTTCCTAAACATAATTATAAAAGGATTAGGGTTTTATTAAACCAAATGGGTCTAATGGGCTTTCACTTAACCATTAAGAGAAAATAAGCCCATTAACCTCATTAATAAACATATGGGCCCATTGGACCACCTAAACCCATCCAATGGATTTCTAACAAGTTTCGCAAACTGATCGTGGCCAGAGTACCATATCCATTAATCTCCCACTTGCTCTACTCATGATCGAGTTTCAGTCTATCACAATAGACCTTTCCAAGCACGCTCCAGAAAATAGTAACAGCCCTATGCGTGTGACCCTATAGGTCCATCCAATGCAGACATAGTTCTGAAACTATTTCGGACTAATAATCATAAGTGGTCTCTAGAAAAACACTATAATTCCCTTGTCAGACTAGGTTAGTGTGATCTAACGAGCTAAGTAACATTCAACACTTGTGTTCTTTTTCCACACGATATCATAAGTCAAAACAGAGACATGGAACAAGTCATCTCGTCACATTTTGACAGTTTTCTCGTTCGTTGAGTTAACTGAACCTACAAATGACTCTTCATCTGTTTGCGCGCATTTCAGCTCAACTCACTCGAGGGACCCAGCGATATCTCTCTCTTCATATAAGAGAGGGACAAAATCCCATCTTGGCTCTCTACTACCCTCCACATGATTAATAACATTCCCAACTACAACCGTTGTAGTCGTCCTTTTACAGTTCCGACGTTTGATTATGTCAAAGAATATCACTCCTCATGTCGGATACATATAGAGACCTCAGGTGTTAGGACTCAAAGCGGAGTATTACATTAGATTTAAGTCATGACATCAGGTCCATGTGACAATCTCATGTGGGTCATTCAGTATTCATTCACAAATGAACACCCATGATCATGATCCGTATCAAATAAGTAATGATCTTTTATCATGTATCATTCTAGTCTTTATTCGTCAATGTTCGCATATTAACAATCGACTAGGGAATTTAATATTATTACGATAATAATACATGGATAACATTATTAAATAATGACATGCAATTTGAATAATAATTAAAAAAGAAAAATATACTTTCATTCATCACAAAGAATCCAAGTACAATAAATAAAGTGTTCGTGCGAATAAACATGATTAGTGCATAAAACATCACAATCTCCAAACGCTTTAATCATGATAAACTAAATATCTAATCCTCATCGACCTAACATGACACTCATGCTTCGACGAAGGGAGAGGCTTTATCAACGGGTCAGCGATGTTGTCATATGTCGATACTCTGTATATCATCACATCTCCTCTGTCTATAATTTCTTTGATAAGATGAAATCGTCTGAGTATGTGTTTGGATCTCTGATGTGACCTTGGTTCCTTAGCTTGCGCAATCGCACAATTGTTGTCACAGTACAACGCAATGGGGTTCACAATGCTAGGAACAACACCAAGGTCTCTCACAGATTTCTTGATCTAAACTGCCTCTTTTGCCGCATCCGATGCAACAATATACTCAGCCTCTGTAGTGGAATCTACAACGGTGGCCTGTTTTGAACTCTTCCAACTAACATCGCATCTGTTCAGAAGGAACACAAAACTTGATTGCGATCGAAAATCATCCACGTCGGACTGAAAACTAGCATCGGTGTAATCACTTACAACGAGTTCATTTTCACGTCTACCGTAAACTAAGAACGCATCCTTAGTCCTTCTCAGGTATTTCACGATGTTCTTTACGGCTATCCAGTGTGGATCATCTGGATAAGACTGGTATCTACTCGTTAGACTCAATGCTAACGATACATCTGGCCGAGTACACTGCACAACATACATGATGGATCCTATCGCCGAAGCATATGGAATCCTATCTATGTGTTCTCGCTCATCAGATGTCTTTGAACACTGATTCTTGCTCAGAACTAAACCTGCCTCATCGGTAAGGATCCTTTCTTAGATTCTTGCATGCTAAACCTTTTTAGCACCTTGTCGACGTAAGTACTCTGACTTACACCTATCAGCTTTCTCGATCTATCTCTATAGATCTTGACGCCTAAAATATAGGCAGCTTCGCCTAAGTCTTTCATCGCGAAATGGTTTCCTAACCAAGACTTAATATTTTGCAAAGTAGGAATATCATTTCCGATGAGCAAGATGTCATCAATGTATAAGACCAAGAACATAACTGCACTCCCACTGGCCTTCTGATAAACGCATGGCTCGTCCTTGTTTGGTAACAAGCCAAACTCTTTGACTGTCTCATCAAAGCGTAGGTTCCACCTTCTTGTAGCCTACTTCAATCCATAAATGGATACTTGAAGCTTACATACCTTCCTTGGATGCTCAGGATCCTCAAAACCCTCGGGTTGTGTCTTGTACACATCCTTATGCAGATTTTCGTTAAGGAATGCGGTCTTGACATCCATTTGCCATATCTCACAGTCGTAATATGCGGCTACGGAAATGAGTATCCGAATGGATTTAAACATAACGACGGGTGAGAAGGTTTCGTGATAGTCAATACCATGAATTTGTCTAAATCCTTTCACCACAAATCATGCTTTATAGGTATGCACGTTTCCATCCATGCC